ACACCCTCCAATCCCCTTCACCCACACCAAGTGATTCTGATTTCAGAAGCCCTGTTGGAGCAGACATAATTGAGTGGGTGGAATGGAACCTCATTCAGAAAACGCTTTAGAGCCTTAAGATTCCAGGTCAGGGTAGTCTTGAGGAGACTTGCAGTGAATTGTTTCATTGCACTCCACTTCACATCCCTCCTCTCCCAGATGGTACACACTAAGGATTACATTTTTTTTATTTTTATATTTTGGTTTAGACACAGATTCTCTTTCTTCCTACAACAGACTTCTAGGAAAAGAAAACTTTTTGAGAGATCACCGTTTATATTTTCTCAGCCCAGTGTAAAGAGGCTCTACCCAAATTGTGCCCTAAATCAATATCAGGTGTTAACTTCTCAGTATCCTTCTTTTATCTGTGCTAAACATGATATATGTTAAAAACTTGAGCAATCAGATTAGTAGGCTATGTCCTAGGGCCACTAGAGTGAGAAGATATCATGTTGCCTTTTTTATTGCTTGTCTCCCTTGTGTTCACGTTTGGCTTATCAGAGTCAAAGTGTTCTTACATCTTGTGTTTGATTTTGCTTGCAGGAGCTAAAATGGTTGGCAAGTACCTGGAGGATTACAGTGCAGCAGAAATGTTCAGAAGGAGGATGTTTGGCAGGGCAAATGACACACCTAAACCGTGATCTTCCTATTATAATAGTGCATCCACCATCTCCCACGAGCTCCAGTACTTCCAGGGCATGCTTCTTTCTGAAGCACCCCTAGTGAGACTGTCTTCCTGGGACTAAATCAGATCCCCGGCTACTCCGTGGTTAACTTGACTTGAGCCAACAGAAGTCTACAGCACATTTACTTTGGGGCCCAGCAAAGCTAGACAAAACTCCTTAGTGAATAGAGTCTCAGATTATCCTAATCCTCTGAGGAATCACTAGGGATATGGGCCAAAATGTAGGATCCACAAGGGTAAAGATTATGTCTATTTTATACTTCGATGTGCTCCTGTTTCTCATATGTGGAAGAACATAGCAGTTAATAAACATTTGTTGGATGAATGAATGAATGAATACGACTTGCACTATTGTTTCTCAATATCAATAGTGTGTACTACTTTCATGAGTTTTACTACTCCCGTAAAATAGCTGTGCTATTATTTGCTTAATAGATTTTTGATTCATTAATTTTTAAATTTAGCTTCATATATATATAATTTTGGGTTGTAGCTAATACACATGTAAAAGAAAAACATAAATAATTTTTAAAAGATTTTATTTATTTATCTTTAGAGGGTAAGGGAAGGAGAGAGGGAGAGAAATACCCCCTGCTGGGAACTGGCCTGCAACCCAGGCATGTGATCTGACTGGGAATTGAACCATAGTAGTTTGGTTTGCAGGCCTGCACTCATTCCACTGAGCTATACCAGCCAGGGCAAATCATAAATAATTTAAAAAATAATAAAATATTTTCACATGCACCACCTGAAACCATTTTGCATACCAGTAAAGTCACTGACTTTAGAAAGTACAGTTTATACACTGTGTTATTATCATGACACTATCAGACTAGAAAACCCTGAAGAATTGTATTTTGCTTTGATTAATTTCCTCTTGGGCTTCAGAAGGACTCTTAGAGTGCAAGTTTAGCTAATCCCACTTGCAGAATGAGACATGAATTAAATAGCAGAATATGGAGAGAAATCACCTTATTCAACTATGATTAGAACCCTGGCTACTCTAAAATTTTTTTCAATTGCTACATCCAAGAAATCTGTAATTATGGTTTTCTCCTACTCTGACCTTGACCAGCACACAGACTTTCAGAATTTATCTTGAGAAATCCATTTCTAGTCACTCAAGTCCCATGGGATACTTTATTTCTTTTTGGCTAATTACACTGTTTTCAACTAGACACAAAGTGATAACTTCATTTCAACACACATATTTAAAAATAATAAAAAATTTACTAAAATGGTGTATTTCATTAAGATAAAGAGACATAGTAGAGCACATATGTGTATTTGAATATGTCATTAGTTACCTCGTAAAAGTTATTAAGAAAAAGGTACAAAAGGCTAATTGAAAAGATCTCGGGAACTTCTTTTTTTCTGCCCAAGACTTTCACTACCTATTAATCAAATGAAGAACGCCTTTGAGTTTTCTGAAGAGAAGTGCCGTCTCCCATTTTGCTTATTAAAGTAGAGGCTACTACTCCAGTAACTGAATTACAGAAGAGCCATACTTCTCTGCAAACCGAACTGCTGAATTGCCAGCGCTTGATGGGTTTAAATGATATCCTCTTAATTTTGAAACACTCAACCTTAATCCTCAGTCTGAAGTAGAATTTGAACATACTGTCTTAATTTTCATACAGAAACCTCTGTGTGTAATTCTGGCAAAATATGAAATCCCTCTAATTTGTTTCCTGAGGCAGTTTTATTCCCTAGGGTCACATCTCAGCAGTTTTGCTGACACTGGAGTTTTTGACTGTGCAAAACAAAACATCTTCATTCCTTTCCAGTCTAGAACGAAAACAAATCAACCAACAAAAACCTGAACCTGATATGCGATGACAGTGCCAAATTCTAACGAGAGTAAGAAAAATGTCAAGTCAGTGTTTAAAACACATTCAAAATCTCTCTTCTTACCCCCTAAGCAAAAAACTATGGTTTACTCATAATACCCTAAAAAATGGCTGTAGGTTAATTCTACTTCTTCAAGTCATTCAGAAGATTGCAATCAACATGTTCTTTCAAATGTTTCAGTGGAAATATTATCATCATCTGCTATTTAGTAAGAGACATTTTATTTTTAGCAATTTTTACTGTACTTTGGGCAATGTTAAACCTCATTACTTGTTTATAATTCATAATTCAAGAGAACTTGAATTACCTCGAAATTACTGTGACCTCTGAAAAAAATAATTTGATAAGGACATTAATGTAAACAAGATGTGGGACTTCAAAGTCCTTATTAAAAGGTTTAGAGGAGATATCTTCAATAACTTAGAAATCACAATTTTTAAGTATTTTCTATAATTACTTACCTTAGACACTAAATACATTTTTATAGCTTAATCCAAACTAATGTATGTTTTTGAAAGCACTAAAATGGCATTTAGTTTAAATTGTTCTATGCTTGCTATTTCCCGCTGATCTTCCTTTTACATACCTTGAACTACTGATGGTGCTGTATTTTTGCCCATTTTCATAAAAAAGTGTGTAAATTGCAGTCTGGCCAATGATAATTATGCTTAGAATTAATCTGCCAGGTTAATTTCATCACTTTATGATTGGATTTCTTTTGGGCAGATAATTAGTGCTAACATTCCATCCCATTTCTCAAATTCACTGAGGTCCAGGCAGTCCCAAGAGATGAGAGCAGCATATCAGGGCGTTTTGTGCAGTTAGCATACACCTTCACAAATCGGATCTTAGAGTTTCTATTCTTTTTCAAAAATAATCTGGAACTGGTCTCTGAAAGGGGCTTCATAGCTGATGAGAGTCAAGAATTTGACCCATCACATTTAAATTTCTGGTATGTAATTTTATTTTATTTTTTATATCTTTTAAATTTTTTATTTACATATTTTTTATTGTTATTCAAGTACAATTGTCTCCATTCCCCCCAATGCTCCCCACCCCAGCCATTCCCACTTCTCACCCTTTGGTTTTACCCACCTTTGGTTTTGTCCAAGTGTCCTTTACCTGGTATGTCCTTTTAAAGACCTATTTGAAAATCTGGTTATTAGATGATATTCCCCCTGAAGAGAAGACACCAAGACCATTTTACGAGCATGCTGATTGTAATTTCATCACATGGTTACTATAGATTTGTTTGAGAAGTTAAAGGACTTCATATAAAATATTTTTTAAAAAGTGAATTGTTAGCCACTGAGGCACTATCTAAAGAAAAATAAGTAGAAAATAGAAATTAGCTTTCGGTTTTCTTTTCCAGTAAAGAATTTGAGGATACTTATTCAAGATTAAGGTAATCTGGCAATGAAATTAAAAATAAAAAACAATGAATGTTAAATTCTGGAAGAAAAAAAGGGAGATTAAAAGCCATCTAATATTTTAATTCTGAGTGAGAATGAGGAAGGTGGGAAGAACCATTGAAATTCCTAATTGTGAAAGGAATCTGATTATAAATGCCATCAAAAGCGAAGAACAACTGACAGTAAAATTGCAAATGCATCATTCTGCAAAGTTTGAATTGAGATTATTTACACAACAAATATTAGCCAGAATATTTGCCTATTAAATTGCTTTAAATCCCAGAGTACTTGCTATTATTGTTATAGAAAAGAGTGATCCATGATGTGTCCTTTCTTGAGATCAGATCACAATGTTAGGGTGATTAATATATTTCAAAAATTAAATAAAAACATTTATGCAAGTAAAATTAAGGTAAAATTAATGAAGAGAAATCCTACTAACTAAATCAAATTTACATTTGGTAGTAAACTTAATCCTGCCATAGAAACACAGCAGAACATGGGAATTCAAAACAATTACTGCTTTGAAATGAAACTGACCCTGCCTGAATTCAGAATGAGTTTCAATTATGCTTGGAAGCCTAGCTTGTCAATTGCATTTTCCTTGCTTTGCAAATGCACTATTTTACGTAACCAAATGATATGATATGGCTATCCTAACCAAATTAGGATATGGCTGGTGGCTAGTCAAGTGTGCATATGATGTCTTTCTTAGCCCAAATAAAAGAGGCCTAAACACATTGACTACTGAGAATTTTTTGGATGTAACCCTGCTCTCTGATAACGGAGAGAGTTACAAACAGCTGTTGGATTTTCTGTGACTGTAAAGAAATACATTGTTAAATTATCCTCATGTATAAAATTCAAATAATTTTCCCTTTGCTATTATGCTTTGCTAAGCCACTAATTTAGGACAACAAAGATTAAAGTATTCAATTCAAAACAGCATAAAGTATTTCATTTAAAACAGCATACAAAAATAAAAAATTAAAAGAAAATATATATCAGCTCACCTGGGTAAAGCCTTTATAGATCCCTCAGCTCTAAAAGAGACATGAATTAAACACAAATATATATTTTGAAAAGCAAGAAAATGAAATAAAGATTTGAGGACCTTGTCTTGTTCTACTTTGGATTTGTCTGGGTTGTTTAAATCCAAAATCTGATTACCATATTTAATCTTATGCAGTGTCAGAAATGATCCACCACCCTTAATCAGTCTATTATTATCTGTCTTAACCATCCCTGAAGCCTGTTTATTTTCAAATGTACTTTTAGTGCACGGTGATGCTCTTGTGGATTAGGAGCTTGGATAGGGGCACTCATGATACACAACTATGATGTTCACATGGTGCAGATCTAGGGAAAGAAACCCAAATAAGAATGAAAACTTAAATGATGTAGTTTGGCTCTTTATCAGCTATTTATCATTGAGTGGAAGATCCAGGGGCAGAGGCAGTACAGTGTACAGTATAATGGAGGTTCTAGACTTTCACTAGAGAGATTTAAATAGAGTCCTATTTCCATACTCTATGTTGATCTTGGAGAAGTCATTTGACTTCTTAGACTCAGTGTGCTTCTTTATAAAATGGGGATAAACAAGCTCTTAACTACAATTTTTGAAATACTTGGAGAAATGCAAATAAAAATATAGTTTAGAATCTTTAAATAAATGAATGAAACATTTCTATTTAAACCAGTAGTATATGATATTGGTCATTATTATTTCGATAATCCTTGATGAAAGTTTATTAATGCATAATAAAAATTTAGGTTTGTCTGTGGCTTTTTGCCACACAAATATGAGGTTGGAAGAAAGAGAAGTGATGAGTTTAGTTGCCGAGGTAAATTGCTATGCTAAGGAAACTGGACTTTCTCCTTTATCCACAGAAAGGTCTTTCTGAAGAATATTAAGTGAGAGAGCCCTGGCTGGCTGGCTCAGTTGGTTGGAGTGTCACCCTGTACACCGGTTGCGGGTCTGATGTACTGGAGGGGTCTGATGCAAAGGTTGGGGTGTGTACTGGAGGCAACTGATCAATTATGTTTCTTTCTCCCTTCCTTTCTCTCTAAAACCAATAAACATATCCTCAGGCGAGGATTAAAAAATATTAAGAGAAACACTAGATAAGATTGCTTCTAAGTGAGATCTGTTTGGATACAATGTGAAGAATGGATTGGGAGTAAAACTTTCAAGTAGGGAGACCCATTCAGGAAGCTGAGCAGAGCTTGAGACTAGGTAAGTAGCCCAAAGTAGGATGGTGGCCCTGGAGAGATGGAGTTGGGACAGGGTGCAGTGACAGAGACAGAGACTGACATTTAAGAAGTATGAAGAAGTGAAGAAATAAAAGGAGGACTTGGAGTCTGGCTGTGGGGTACTGTAGGGTGAGAGATAAGGTAGACGTATTAAAGATAACAATACCCCAAGTTCCACGACTTGCAAGGTAAGTCTTAGGCGCTTGCAAGACTACTGAGATAGGGATAGAGAAACTGGGACACCCTTGAAAGACAAGATCATTTAACTGTACATGTGTAGTGTACAGGACACTCTGAGGTGTCCAAGCCAATATGTCTAACAGAGAGTTGGAGATAGAAATTTGGTAACCAAATAAGTAGTTGAAGGTTATGGGAAAAATACATGTAATGATAAGAGAAGCTCTAACCTAAAAATGACCAAAATTTAAGGAATTGAAAGAGCAAACAGAGACTGGAAGTGCTCTAGTCAGTGCAGCATTATTAAAGGACTTCTGTATGATAGCTCTGGTAAGTGGACGGATGAAAGAATTTGGAATGAAATACTTGGGTTCAAGCTTTGACTCTTCTATTTATTTAACGATGTGCCTTAACAAGTAAACTCCTCTTAGTCAATTGTGATAATGATATTAACATGCATTTCATAGGGTTAAGGGTAAAAAAATAATTGTCAACATTCTATATAGAGTTCTGTGTAGATAATATTAGTATTGAGAATGAGCTAACTAAAGAGTTCTCTTTTCTTAGGGGCTTGTTGGAAAGAGAGATCTATTAGTTCTTAGATATATTGGAAAGAAAAAGCAACAAATTTTACAAAGTTCACAAATCTGAGTTTGAAGTAAATTTATAATTTATTAGACCGATGGCATATTTTCTCCTTTCATCCTGAACAGTGTCTCCCAGAACAAAGTTCCTACCAGCTTCCTGCTCATGGCTGCAATCCCACTGAAGCCCTCACTGACACGTAGAACTGATGGTCAGGGCCATCGCAGCCCCTGAGGTTTGATTTTGCAACTGTTGTTCCAGCGTCTTATTTGGACTTCCAAACCTTGTAAACCCTTTGGCACTAGAGTATTCAAACTTGTTTCATAATACAAGTGAATCCAGCAAGAAAAGCAAAATAACTCTTAGCAGGAAAGCTGTTGGATCAATGGCATTTTAAATTGTTTTTACCCCTAGTGATAGAGATGACATCAGCTTACTGCTATCTGAAAGCAGTAATAAATATTTGTAAGATATTTTACTGAGATGTTCAAGACATCACACTGCTCCAATAGACTACAATTTCAGGCTAGAGTAAAATTGGGCTGAATATAAAATAAACAAAAATAAACTTCAGACTAGATCAATTTTTTACTCCTTCTGTTCTAAAATAGATGTAAGTACCATCGTCAATTTCGACTCCTGGGTGGAACTCCCATGTTACTGAAAATGAAACTACCTTCCAAGTTAAGTGATTAGAATTATGTTCCTAATCCATCAAGGCTGAGACAGAAGATGGTCTGGTACATCTCCTGTGAACCCAGGACTGGAAAGCCAGGGCAGTTTTTCATTCTCTGTGCCGTAGTTTGTCTGTTATCAGCCTTCTGGTTAGAAAGAAAAACGTTTCCATTAGCAGAAAGGTTTCTTTTTCAACTTAATAAACCCATTTTAAAATTTCACAGTCACCCTCACTATTCTCTAGAACATCATAATAATGGGAATTGTGAAAATAAGAAATATCTGTTGTCCAATGTTATGGTGTTGTCTGCTTAGCAGTGAAAGAAACGTAATATACTTCAAGGAATAAAGAAAATTTAAAAGTGCTACTTCCACCAAAGAGTACAATTATATGTGCATATCTTTCAGTGAAAATAGAATGGGGAACTTGCCTATGAGCCCAATTAACACGTCCAAATGTTCATTGTATAGTTGAAAAATTATTTCTCAAACAATAAAAAAATTCAGGCTTCTGATCACCCATTTTTCCCCATGCAATTTTTATTACTTGACTAACTTCCTTTTGATCATTTTTACTTTTGGAAAACAAATTATTTGGAAATCTGCTATATATGATAATAAACCACACTTCCTCTTTCAAAAGCTATTCTGAATTCTGAGTGTCCCAGGAAGAAAGAGGACAAGATGTAGTATACAAAAATCATTTTCAGCATGGAATTTATTTTTGCAAACAATTCCTTTCCGATTCTCTCCTGACCAATGAAACTCTTTTTTGAAGATGCAGGCTCCTGGCAACATTCTTATCCATTTCTTCAATACAGGAGTTCTCAAAACATGCCGTGTAGAGTCTGTCTCTCACCTACCAGTGTGCTGTCAAAGCTCCTAAGCATTTGGGCCCTTTCGGGAGCACTCCCCGCCATCCACTCTGAAGTCGAACTCTCCCGTCTCCTTTTCTAAGTGCCTCCTTCTCCAGTTGCTTCAAGATTTCGATCTTTTACACTTGAAGACAAATACTCTTAATTTTGCACTTTGAATTACATTGTCCTAGATCTTTTTCTACTACAGAAAACTGGCCCTTTTAAGAGCAGCACACACATAAATTTCACTCGGCACCCACCATTCTCACCTCACACACACATATAATATATATTATATACATAATTTTTACAACCTAATAACTGGTTCTCATCCCTAATACAAGTCGCGTTATGGAAACTTTATTCTCAATAATTAATTTGTTTTATAAAACATTTTCACATAATGTTGTGCTAAAAGCACATTAGCAACATGGTTCTACCTACTGTTGTCATATGAGATTTAGTTGAGTTTATTTACTTTATTAATAAACTTACACTGTCTCCTTTCATCTCATGGTCTCACTTTGGTTGGCACATTTTTTTCTCTCTTTATTCACACTCCTTAGCTAAACTTTAAAAGAGTTACTCAGTTATTTTTCTAACTAAATAAAATAGGTAAGCTTCTAATTTTTCTAGTCCTTCCATGAAGAGTAAAAAATTCAAAATGCAAAAACTGGTAATATTAGACAAGTAATAAAAATAGACAATATATACGAATATGAAATTACTGACCTATATGTATACGTAGCTTGGGGTGTGTGTGGAGTGACCCAAAACTATAAAATTAAAAAGATTTAAACAAAAATTAAAATATTCTAATATGACAACTTTTAAAAGGGCACTTGTATATTTTGTTTACACATCATTAATTCTAAGTATAAAATGATGACTGAAATTTAGCTTTTTCCATTTTTTCAGAAGATAGTCATCAAAACATTAAAAAGCACACACAACACACAAAACAGAGAAGAGATACATTTTTTAATGTATGGTTACCTTTATTTCCATTAGAATACATTGATGGCACTTGAAACTTTACAATTTCTTGGCTATTTCTTCTACTTACATGTAGCTTATTCACCTCTCAGAGGTTAACAATTTAAGAGAGATTATTAAAACAATAATTTACTTAGATACTGATTTTCCCTGAGTACAGGGTTAAATATCAAAAACTAAATTTACAACTACTTGTCGACACTTTGTATTTTACTTTGCTATCCTACAACTTTTGATGTAACCTTAGGATCTATACGTATTAAAATACATTTGAAGTAAGCTGAACTTTTTAAGTCATTATACTTCAGAATAATCAAGGCACGGCATTTTCTATATTCCTATGTAGTTCAAATTTTATTATGAATCCAAATGTCCTGTATAAGTCTTAATTTTGTTTAAAGACCTGATATCAATAAGCCTTCATCAATTACTAAGGGAACCATTGTTTGTTAATAAAACAAAGTTTTAACTAATAAAATGATCTTATTTAAGTTAAATAAATTTTAGTATCTAAAATTTTAAATAACAGTATGTGGTAAAGTGAATGTATTCTTATCTATTATTTTGATTTATCTTATATACATTTTTAGTAATAGTTTCTAACTTTGATCAGAGGAAGAATGCTTCTCTGGGTTATACAGTATAAACTTGTAATTAACTTACTTAACTATAAATATAATAAATTGTATTAAAATTATAAACTGTACTTGTGTAACTTTCATTAATTAATTTACCTTTAACAAATTAATTAAATTCACCTTTCAATATTTCCTTTACCTTGTCTATAAGGGAAGGGCAATGAACTCTAGATATTATCCTTTAGGTCTCTTCCAGTTCTAACATACGATAGTATACAGCCAAATTATATAAATTTATGTATTTAAGTGTTACCTTTTAAAACAATTTCAAAACAGCCTTGTAAAATATGACAGTTCTGTCTAAATTGGGAAGTGCAATTTACTTTCTCTAGAATATTACTGATTCATTTCCAACATATACTTACTTTATAAAGCCTTCTTAGAATGTGTTAAGGCCAAAAGCGAAATGTTACATATGAACTTAACAGATGTTATTAGTAATGATTATATAGCTTTTTGCTAATGCAGATATATTCCTTATCACAAAATGCCACAAAGCCAGTGTTTTTTTAAAAAATATGTAAATCTTTCTGTGATTTACATAACATCTGACCTTTGAGAATTTCTTTCAAATATGTTTCATTTCAGTGAAAAAGCAGAGAATCCTGATTTATCTTAAGACTTTGAGTAGCTCTAATAGAAAAACAGAGTAATTAATTTTTAAGGAGGAGGCCCCAGACACAATATATGCTCTTACTTGTTTTGTGGAGTTGTCAAAATAGAAAATTCTTAACTGATGAACATAGAACACTGTAACTGCAGCACTATTAAAACAATGAAACCAGGAGGAAAAAGTGAATTACAATGGGAGATGAGCAAAAATCTGCTACTGACAACTGAAAGACACTTTATGGTAATGAAGGACTAAAAATTCAAGCTCAAAATTCATTAAAATTATTTTGTCTAATTTCTCAAAAAAGATGTGACATCAAGTCAGTGTTTTTATTAATGAGGTACATGTGCAGGGTCTGGTACAAATAATGTCCACTTATTACAAACTCTTATTAAACATCATACTTGAGTACACCATATAACATTTTAAGTGACACGTTCAAATTGCTGTCCATCTCCTGTGAGACATTCATGTACCCCACCAACCACACTCAAGCAGGCGTTACTTCTGCCAGACCCTGTGTATGAGATTTAATATCTGTGAGGAGAATTACTTGTAAATATGCTTAATTTCAGTAATGGATCTTTAATGACTAGTCTAATGCTTATAACAGGTGCTAGGATTTCAGTGCACTTACATTTTTGGAACATATTTCTTTACGACATGATTTCTCTTATTAGAAACATGGTTTTATGAAATAGAATTGTGGAGCACAACCAAAAAATGTTCGAGATAGAAGGATGATCCAGATTTTAATTTAAAATCTGAGGCAATGTTGTAACTCATAAAAATAAGAATTCTGTAGTTGAAGATGAAATGTACACTTTGAAAATATTTTAAAAATCCAACATGATATTTTGTGTTGTGACATTCTAAAGAGTATTGAATATTTATAACCTCACTTGAGGAATAAGTGGAATAAGAAATTAATTGGTACTCAAAGTCAAGTTACTTGATTTAGAGGTTGGGGTTCATTCCAATCCAGTGTTTGATTAATTGATGCGCAATAGCTCGGCTTGGTGGCACAAAGAATGCCTGCTTCTTCCCTTTGGTCAGAACATCCACAACCTAAAATACACCATAAAAAATGTATTAAGATTTCAACATTGTTACAGTTAAGTACAACTTCTATGGTTATATGATTCAACTAAAATGTGATGACTTTTATAGTGAATAACAACAGGAGAAAGTAATAACATTCATATTCAACATGAAATATTTAGTGCAGCATCTTTAGTTGCTTCAAGGAGTTAGTGATTCAATTTTTAAAATATTTGAGTAATGTATATTCCCTTATCAAAATAAGGTCATGAAAAAGTAAAGCATATGCTTTTACTTTATAAAATTTTTGAAAAAATTTTATACTTTATAAAAAAGTTTTACTTTATAAAATTTTGAAAAAAATCTTATTTCTACTTTTAAAGGTTGAGCATAAAATAAAATAAATTTTATTTAGACAAAGTTGGAAAGGACTTCAGGTCTTCAGTACTGTACAATATCCATTTGTTTTCTACAAATACTTTAGGTCATGCAAAATACATATATGTAATTTATCTTTCCTTATAAAATTTAATGATGTTGTAAAAAGTTCTTGCAAGTGTATTTTTGTTATACAGTTTTGTCATTCTTGTCCTTAAGTATATTTTAAACTGAACAAGAACTTTTCACAAATTTTAAGCATTTTTACTGATATTTTTAAAGAGGTAACTCTTTTAAAGCTATAAATTAAATGTTTAAATGTTTAAAGCTATAAATATAAAGTGTTTAAAAATAACACTCATGTTTCTCATCTCTGAAATAATGGTTACCTATTTTAAGTCCACCGAAAGGCATCATTAATTTGAAGGAATGGCGGTTGAAATTGGAAAATGGCACAAAATCATCGTTACTCGAGAATCTCATAGAATGAATTAACATAGGACACATCAATTACACTGTAATCCACTCATGATGAGAGAGCCACAGCCATTCAATCAACCCGTTGAAAGCAAGTATCCTTGCTGCATGCCTACACCAATACAGTCAGAGAACAATCAATAGTAGAAGGAAATTAAATTGAACTTTACCTGTTCTCTAGTGAACCAGCGGGCATCCTCTATTTCATTCTTGTCAACTTTAATTTCCGTAGACACTGCCACAGCTAAGCAACCAATCATTAAGGAGGAGGGCATTGGCCATGGCTGACAAGCGACATACTGAACATGGCCAACTCTGACTCCACTTTCCTCTTCTACTTCTCTCCGAACGGCATCTTCTATTGTCTCCCCTAATGAAATAGGGCAAATGAACAAGTAGCTGATGAACATGCCCTGGATGCACTGTGCTCTGAACAGTTCAAACATTTGGAAATCATTTTGGACAGAACCCAATTCAAAGAATCAGAAACAGGCTAAAATTGGATTGGAATTCAAGAAAACTTTATTTGGTAAAGTATATGACTGCAAACAGATTCGAAATACCAACATTCTTTTTATTTCTTAAAGGTTCAAATCTTTATTTACATTTAAAAAATAACATCTACAACTATTTAGCAACTACTATTGGTTAAACAGTATGTAGACACTTTAACATAGTATTTCATTTATATATTATCACTGAATAGCTATGTTATCGTTACATGATTTTTATAAGAAGCTAGTCTTTTCCTCACTAAAATCTTCAAACTTTTTTCTTATGTTGCCAGTTATTGCAGATAACTCTTCAAATTAGTTAGAAGCACATAACACTAAGAGTTTAAAAGCAACATTAAATAAAATTCAGTATTTTTCTTTCTAAATGATTACTTTCCTCTAGATTAGTAATTTTGAAGCAGTGTGCCACAAAGATTTAAAAAATGTATTTAATACCTGTTTAGTAAGGGGCACTGATCTCTCTTTCCTTAGACTGTCAAACAGAAAAATGATAACAACCAATACAAAAATAGCTGTCCAATGTGAATGACCTGTCTCAAACCATAAATATATATGCCATGTAACAGAGTTGCATCTTATTGGTCGTGTCACAGAATAAGGGTTTGTCTGATTGGTTAATTCTTGGTAACAAAAATTCTTATATACAAGTATAGGCACCTGATTTTTTGAAAATTCACTTTGGAGCAAAAAGAGTAAGTAATTATTATTATTTTTATAAATCAATCAAAATTATACCTCTTTTAGTTGTCAGATTAGTAAAAATGTATTTTTAGTGTGCTGCGGAATTTTAATAATTAGATCATGTGTGCCATGAGATGAAGTAGATTGAAAATCACTGCTCTGGATGACTGTTGACTCAGCTGTGATAAAATAAAATGATGTCAATAAATGTACATTTTGATTTGCTAGAATTGAGAATTAGAATAAAGAGAATATATTCTAAGTTAAGTTTATCTGGAAGTTAAGAAATATTTTGCTAAATATAGCTTTCTTTTTCAAATAGATTAATACATTTTCTATATTAAAATTAACAACTTATGTTCATAAAAACATAGTAAAAAGATAAGTCATAGACTAGTATGTTTGCAAGACCATAACAAAATAAAGAATAACATATAATACATATTAAAAAACTCCTAAAATCAGTAAGAAAAAAGGCAAACAACCAAAACAAAAATAGGCAAAGAACATAGACACGTAAAACCAAGGGATAGAGAAAACTGGATGTTTAATGCACATTTGAAAAAGATACTCCATTAGCAGGAAATAAAAATGAGAACTATAATGACATACTATTTCATATCCTGGCAAATTAAAAAGTCTGAAAATTCTAAGTTGGTGAAGATGTGGAATAACAGAAAATTTCATGTATTGCTAAAAGGAATGTAAATTGGCAGGGACACTTGAGAGAGCAACTTGGCAGTATCTAGAAAAGGTTAAGATGCTCACATCCTAAGATCTAGCCATTCTACTCTCAGGTATGTATTCTAGATAACTCCTGCAAATGTGTATAAGGAGTTAGTAAAAATATTGACGATAGTATTATTTGTAATAGCAAGAGCTTTGAAATAAGCTTAAAGACCAACAGCAGAATGGATAAAAGAATTTCACAATTATTCATAAACGGAATGCTAGACAGTAGTAAAAAGAACAATGAAACAAACAAACAAACCTAGAGCTACTAGAGGCAGCAGAGAGCTACTAGAGTATGGACTCAGGGATGAACTATCCAGGTCTGAATCCCTGCCCTATCACTTACTAGCCACTTGATTTTGGGCAGGTTATTCCACCCCAGTGCCCTATTGCCCCATCTATAAAATTGCTGAGGATCGTATGATTTAATATGTGGAAAGCCTTCAGAACAGAGTGTGGCTCTACATGTGTTTATTACTATTATTATCTAGCAATGCAGATTAATATTAGAAGTTGAAATAAAAAATGTACTAATTAGATATATTCATTCATTTATTCCACAAATATTTACTGAACGTCTAGTATTTAAGAGGCACTGCCCTGAGGGTTTGGGATACATTGATGATAAAATACAGCCCTTTCCCTTATTGATCTTACTTTCTGGTATGAGCAGATAAATAGAGAGAATGATAAACAGATAGACATGTGCACACATACTAGGTTAGGAGGTGATGAATACTGCGGCAAAAAAAAAGTGGCAGGATAACAGGGACTGTGAACGCAGGGTATGGGGCTAACTCATGTATTTGGGGCTATCAGGAAAGGCCTCTCTGAAAAGGTGACAGCTGAGTCTAGTACAGAAGGAAGTGAGGTACAAATCATGTGGATACCTTGGATAACAGCAATATATGAAAAAGCAAATATCAGAATTTTAAAATACACAAAATTATTCCACTAGTAAAAAGAACAATGATCATTTCAAATACACAGAAAATATTTAGAAATACCTGTTTTATAACATAATAATTTATCAAATATTATTTCTCAAATGTTTTCTAAAATTTTTATTGGGAAAGTATAAGTTAAATAAAAATTATTGCAAAAATTATTTTTAAAAGGCTTACCAGGTTCAATAAATCCAGCAAGGCAAGTAAACATGCCTGGGGGAAATCTTTTCTGCCTGCCTAACAGACATTTGGTCCCATCTGGATGAATAACTTGCATGATTACTACCGGATCTATTAAAAAAATCAGATGTATGAATGACAGGAAAAAGTAATCGAGACTAATTGTGTGTGTAGGGTCCCTGTCTAGTAGGATAATTACAAGGTGTACCTACAGTAAGAACAACACTGTTGTCTAGTTACAAAAGATTTTTCTTTTCTGCCTAATGACAGTATTTCAAAAAAGCTGTATAGTGAAAGATACAACTATTTCACTTCACAGTCAGTGAAGTGAAAGATTGGTTTTGTCCTCCTTCTCATCTTAACAACAACACTTATTGTGTACTTATGGTGCCAGACATATTCTTATGTTCTTTAATGAGGAAAAAAAGTGTTGAGCAGATAGTACATTGGTGGCGTGGGGAAAATTTTACCCTGGGAAACTTCCCTCTCTCTTCCATCCCAATCCTTAAACAAAATGTTTTTAAAAGTTAAGGTGGCTCTATGATCAAGTTTAAGCCATTAAAAAAATACATATACATATAAATTAAATAACAGTTCACATCTCCAAAAGTCACTAATCTAGTGAATTATTCCCCCCCATATCATGACTGAGATCCAGGAATCAATATAAGAGGCTCTCGAACAGTAAAAGCAGATGTCACTAAACCGCGCACTTTACTTATTCCCAGGTGACCTCTGCAGGTGCTGCTTTGTCTATTTTTTTTCCCCTCACAGTTTTAAAGGACTGGGTTATCAGATTTCCAAATCCCCAGCAGACTCAAAACATGGATTAGAAGAAGGAGAGAAGGTCCAGGCAGATAGATACCCGCAGTTATGAGAAGCTAGCTCCAGGCTGCACCACTTTGGTGATGTGGGAGGTACCGAATGTTGGAGTTCTTTTCTTTTTGTCTCTGGCTAATTATGTACAATATCCTTTACTTAAAAGTCACGAAAGTATGTAATAACTTAATATTTATAATCTTAATGGTGAAATTAAACATGATCTTAATACAAATGTTAATCTGTCTGCAAATGAAAACCTTGTCTTTCCAGAATGCCTTATTGCCTAAGATTCCAGATGGCTGAGATTTCACTGTAAAATAAAGGGCTTACCAACTCTTGGATATGATGTATTGTGAACACCATGAAGGCTAGGACAGTCTTCCTTTAAGCATACTCTCTTATAGCCACCTTCTTCAATTTTAGTTGTGCTTCCACAGGTTGGGCAGAACTTATATCGACTGTGCCAGGCAAGAACAGATCTTGCTTGAGCTACGACCCCTTCAAGAGAAACACAAAAAGTTCCAATTCTGTTACAAATTGTAAACAAATTAATATATAAGTAAAATGTTCTTAAATCATAATGAAGACATATATTGTAACAATATAAATGTTCTTAAGTCACAATAAAGACATACTCCTGAATAGCTCTGTGATCAAGGGTTTAGTATTCCTATTTTTATGATGTATACACAAAGTAAAATCTCTTACCTGGGATATGGTAATTTCTAGTCACCTCTTAATAAGACTCCTGACTTCCATATTTAATTACCTATAATTCATTATCTATAAAGCAGGCAAAGTGGAGACTTTTTTTTCCCTTAAACATAGGTCAGGTTATAACATTTAAATGGAATTTAGACTAAAACCCCTCGTTTATTACCATGGCATAAAAAGGCCACACAAGAACTGGCACACCAAGCAACAGAAAACAAAACCAAACAAAGTCTTTGCCATCAGGTTCAATGTACAGGTGCTCAATCGTTATTCACTGAAGAATCAAATGAAACCATCACACATTAGGGTTAATTGTGGAGAAATTAATCTTGGCTGATTAAGACTGCTGTAACTTCCCAGGAGACTAGCCCCCTAGGGTGAGAACTTTACACAAGTTTCTAAGGAAGATATAGCTTAATTTCACTGCTTACTGGGAAAAGCATGCCCCCTAGGAACTGCAGATACATAAAACTGCAATAGAGTTCTAATAACCAGATTATTACTGATGCAAGTATAGACTGTTCACTTCTTACCAGCTTCATTTTCTTTCAATTGCAGAAGAGCTGGCATTGGTGGATGAAGAAAATAACAATTTTCATGTCTTTGCTTAAATTCTTCAGCAGCAACAGGATCTATACCTAGAGCAAACCAGGCAACCAATCCGTCTTCTTCTCTTGGGACTTCCCCAGCATAACTAAGTAACTCTTTTTTCATTTCAAGTTCCACTCCAAGGAAAATCAAGGTGATCTTTTCACGTTGAGCCAAATAATCCTTTATATCTGTGTAGTTCAGCTGACAAAGCCTGACTTCTGGTTGTTGGGAACTTTCTTTGTTGCCACCTAAAGTAACCAAGGGATTTAAATCTGAGAAAAGGATATAAACTGTGGCTGGATGGCTTTCTTTAGCTAGTAGCCAGTCAGAATTATTTCTTTTTTCACTTTTCCGGTCCAGTAGTGTCTTGCTAAAATAATTTTCACATTCTTCTACATCATTGGTTAGGAACCAAGGCTTCTTTTGACCTTTAGCATTAGCTAGTAAGTTAGCTATATGCTTGTAACCCCAAAACTCAGCAATATCCAGTGCAGTCTGCTTTGATCTATTGACAATGGATCTGTCACACCTACAGATAAAAGGAAAAAATATAACAGGAAATAAACATTTTCTCCAGTGTTTATTATAATAAAATATTTTTAGATACATATGTAGTCCCTCTATTTAATGATTACATAGATTTTTTCCATTTTAATATATAATTTACAATTGGTTAGGTTAAAAGAAATAAACATAAATGATGTAAAGTTAGAGATGTAAGATATTTTAATTTTTGGAGAATTATAAAATTAAAAAGCAGTATGTGCTATTAGCTATTTAAATTTTACAAGGAATTTCTCATAGTCACAGTGAGTAGATTTACATTTTCTATTTGGGAAAGCATTAGATTAATTTTGCTTTGCTTCATAAATTTGTTTTGATATTAAGTATGGAAAGTTAATTCCTCAATAAAAAGTTATAAGCTTCGATTAGAAATTATGCTACATTTTGTTAACAGAACTAGTCAATGAATCATTTATAAGTCTGAGGATATAAATGTAGCTACAAGAAAAAATTAAAAGAAAAGATGTAACTCAGAAATTAAAGCACATACTCCTTCAGATGGTATAGGCCCAAATGTTTACCCTTTCTCAAGTAGCAGCTGGACAACATCCAGGTGCCCATTTCTTGCAGCATACATTAAAGCAGTCCAGCCATTTTCAGAAGTTTCATTGAGAAGAGACGGAGAATGACTGAGAATTACTGTTAACTTGGCAATATCTCCTTCTGCAGCTGAACAGTGAAATTGGGAAATTATTTCTTGTTTTGGACTTCTCTTCATAGAAGACATTTCTTCCTTAAAAAAAGGAAAATAGAAAAAAAACCATTTGCAATTGCTTTTTATATCAACGATTGAACATTATCTGAGTGCTGATATAATTAGAATAATAGTTATGGATTCCCAAACAATATGCTCTTCAAAAGGTGATTAGCAGTAAAATGTCATCACAGCATACAGGTCAAAACTGTTATCAGCTGAGAATTTTAAATCTGCTTCAACATGAGGGATATATAAAATAATGTATACTGAACTTTGGTAAAATCGGGGGCCATATGCTTGGGAGAGGGAGTCAGGTAACAGCTTTACAATGGAAAGTGGGAATTTTAGGTAGACAGAGGGACTTCAACGGGAAGAGGACTTAAAACAGACAGAAATAAAGGCAAAAGTTTTTAGCAGATGACAAGTAGTATTCTCTTCGATGCTTGGGTACCAGAAACAGGTCCCTGCCCTCAGAGGAATTGTAATCCCACAGTAAATTGTTCAGAAACTAAGTTTCTCACGAAAACCATTTATTGCTTTTCCTTGCTCATTTCTGTAACCTATGTGAAATTTATTTTATTCATAGTGTGAGGTAAGGGTCAAGACACATTTTTATCTCATTGAGTTATCCATATGACTTGACAACACTCTTGAATTACCCTCTTTGTCTCACTGCACTGCAGTATTATCTTTGTCACAAATTATTGATCACATATTTTTGATCTATTATTGCACACTGTGATGTTGATTACTCTGTTTAGCCTTGAAACACAGAAACTTTTTAAACACTTAACTTTGCACTATTACTCCATTGTTTCATTAAGAAAAAAGTATAGAAAGTAATTATTTCATATCGCCTAATAAATGTTGTCTAAACATGGATTGAATGTGCTAGGGCACAAATCGAGCTATTTTTGGTGGAAGTGGTTCATGTTTCAGTTGTCTATCAACTCCTCCAAGTACCTTCTAGTAAGGTATACATTTTTTTCTATAAAATGCTGTTAGGAAAAGATTTGGGTTCCTAACCAGAGTCCTAACATTCTAAGTAATAAGATATTTAGGCTTAAAGGAAGGAAAGGTTGTAATCCATAACGTTTGAAAGCTGATGTCTCTAGGGTTCTGACCCTACAATTTGGCAGATCAGTTTCATAGTAGTAGTAGTAGTAGTATGAACAAAACTTAAGGAGAAAAGATGGACAACATTAACTTTAGTTTGTGTCTGTTCCCCTTTCTTTTATCTTTCTACTGTTTATAAATGAATAGGTGAAAACTTTTATAAATAGGTGAAATATACTCACAGGAGTGTAAACATTTGGGTAAAGCCTAATAACAAAAATCTGTTTATAACTTAAATTAGTATGAGTGACTTCTATATTAGAAAACATTTTAATTTTTGATTTGCTCTAGAACGTACCTGACCATTCTCTTCATACTGAGATTTTTAAATGCTTAAAAATATTGTGAATAAAAAAAGATATAACTTTTCAGAATTTTGTTTTGAAGCACTGCTATATACTGACTAGTGTAGTCTCCTTTCTAAGGTGTCTTTCCCTCAAATTTTCTATAATATCATCATACAGGTCCTTTATTAGGTTTACTTTAAGTAATATTTCACTGCCTCATGCTCTGAAGTCATGGTCACTTCCTCAGCCTCACCACAGGCCACTCCAGGTGACTGCAAAACTTTCCCTTCAGGAATACAGTACCATTCAGTAGCCGCAGTGCGTGCGACGCTTATGCAGGGTTTTCAGGTGAAGTGGAAAATGCACTTCCCACCTCAGCTTTCTTAGCACAAAAACCATCTAGAAATAGAACCATTACTCATTCTAGAGAATTACGCAAAGTCTGAAATCCAGCTCTACTGCTTGATTTCCTTTTTCATCTCTCATTGACAGGTCCTCCGGAGGATAAGGATTTGAAGGCAGGATCAGGCGATCCGGATAACCTATTGTCCGCACTTTCCAAGAGGCGCATGAACTATTCTGAGAGGTCATTTAAAAGAACCTTAAGGTTCAAGGGTCTTAGATTTTATCCCAAACAACATGCACTTTTACTGATGTGTCTAACTCGGGGCCCATGACTTGCCCAAGGTTACATGTACATTGCTCAATACGGACTCAGCTGACCGCAAATAATGGTTCTGTCACTTAAGTCACCAACCATTACTTAACGAATTCCCCTTCCTTGGGCACACAGGGTGGTCATTTAACCAATCAAGCACCACCCATGTACGGTCTCTTCAAACAGTCAAATGCTTTGAGACAGTTTATTTTCTTGCCACTACTGTGAATTTCTTGTTTCAAAGTGAATCCACGCCCAAGGCAGCCTTTCCTTTCCCCCCACTTCGAAGGCTGGGCTGGAAGTGCCACCAGCCGCGGAACCGGCCGACTCCGTCTCCTCCCGAGACCCCGGCCCCGGAGCCACAGCGCCCGCGTCCCGGCGGGAGGCTGCGCCAAGTGTCCCCGGCGGGGCCCGGCGGGACGGCGCGGAGACGGAAGAGCCCGGAGGACTGGTCGCCGCCTCCCGATCGGGGCGCGTTACCACTCGGTCGCGGCCGCTAACCAACGTACGACCAGACGAGAGGAAAACGGGATGTGGTCGAGGGACCGAGAAACCCCACACTTACTCTTCCCGACGCCGGATAGAGCCTTCCTAACTTCCGGTAGCGGGTCGGTGTCCTCGCGCGGCTTTATGGGAGACGTAGTTTGAAGGTCAGAGGCTGGGAAGCCACCCGAGAAGGGGCGGGGTTTTAGGGCAGTGTTGGGAGAAACAGTTGGGAAAGTTCTGGGCCAGGGTTCCTTGCTAGTAGCCCAGGCTTCCTGGGGGTGGGTGAAGGGTGGATTGTTCTTCCAGGGGAGAACAGATGTGTGGAGTGTGGTGCTGGCGATGGAAACCTCTAGGCCTATCGAATGGGTTTAAAGTTTTCCAGTATGTTGCACCCAGCCGATAAAGTTCCAATGCAATGGAGTGTCTAAAGCATTCTTTCATGTTAAATAAAACTGGAATATGACCTTAAACAAGTTGTTGGCCTCTGAACCTCAATCTCATTTGAAAAATGGTGCCACGTGTTGATGCCGACTTCATCGAGTAGTTCTTTAGAAAGTACTACAAAATGCCCACAACACATTTCTGAGTTGTGAAGTTTAAGTAGAATAATGCATGCAGAGCTCTTAGGACAGTGGTGAGTCTAGAGCTGGTACCCACAACACAATTATCGTTGCTATTCTTTATTATTTTAGTTCCTTCCTTTTCATGTTCCTAAACCTACAGAAGTTAAGTGAGCCCAAGGTTACAAAGGCAGTCTTCTAACTTTCAGATTTCATTTATTAAAATTGTCTCTTGGGCAATCACTAACAAAGAGTCTCTTAAGGTTGACCATTGCTTCCTGCCTGGGTTTTAGTTACTATGTTAATGGCAAGCAGCACCAGATGTTAGACCTCGGTCCTTGAGTTCGACTAAAGAAAAGAATTCTCAGCCAAGAAACTCAAATATAAGTGAAAATTTATTTAGAAAGTCACAGAGGTAAAATAAGTGAGCTGTGCAAGAAGTGAACCAGCTGGGCTGTGTGTACTCAAGAAGCAAGTTACAGAGACAAAAGAAGGGCTTTTGGAGCTTAGGTGAAAGAAGGCAAAGCTATGTTCTTTGAGGGAAGAAAGGGGGAAGGAATGCCCTTGGTGTCCTCAAGAGAGAGAAAGAGCATGTCCTGGGGCCTTCCTCTTATGTGTTTTTATCTGGCAGGCTCTGGGGAAGATTTCAATAAAATATTTCTCAGCTTTCCAGGTGTGTTCTTTTAGGGTGGTGGATTTTACAGATTGGTCACTTCTAGGGTAGAGAGTCCTTAATCATTGTAGCTGGTCCTGCTGTCAGCCATGGCTGTTGCTGTCTGGTTCTGCTGCTTTTCTCAGCCTTGAGCTGAAACACACCCGAATCGTAGATGTTATCTTGAGTTTGATGAAAACATTGTCCTTGTGATCAATAGACACAACACTTTGTTTCTAAGATTTTTGGATATGGGTCTCCACCTCATTGTCTTGAGGGAGTAGTCATGCAGGGCTTGTGTGTGTGGGGGGTCAGGTGAGGCTATTCTCTGGCCTTCCTTGTTCCCCCTCTAAGGGGACTTAGATGCTAGGGGAGGAAAGCTCAGGGGAGGGTCCAAAACACAGGACCAGTGATGTGAAAGGTCAGCGGTTCTAAAATGATATGTGAGGGGAGTTCACCCTGGGGGTGAGGCCCTACCCTACAATACTTGTATTATTCCCAGTTTTGTTCATTGCTAGGCACCTGGGGCTTTCTGCTTCACTGAGCTTCAATAGCTGGCCTGTGGTTCCTACTCTGCTCATGTCTGTCTAACCACCTACTGAATCAATTAGAAGCTTCTCACAGTGAATTTTATGTATGCATTGACATTGTACTTTCATAACTGCTCTTTCTAGCTTTGTCCTATGCTTCTGTCAACAGTTGTCTTCAGTCCTTAATGATTTCAGTGATCAGGCAGGAGTGCAGGAATACTGAGTTTTAGTTAATTCACTCAGAATACCCGATCTTTGTATTCCAACATATAGTAAGGTAGATAAATTAGTATAAGAAATGCTTACATATTAATCACATTTGTAGCATAAATGATTATTAATATATAGTCTTCCTCCCAGCCCATTAGATCTTTTGAAATATATCATAATATTCTTTTACTGATAAATATTTAAGAATAAATGTTTTAGGACTATAAATACATCTCTATAATATAAAAGGGTTTTTAAAAAGAACATTACTACAATATCATTAGTGCAAGTCAAATTTTACAATAATTCCCTAATATCATAAGAGACATTCAATGTTAAATTTAATCATAAATCAGGACCTAAACAATGTCTCCACATTACATTTGATGATTTTTTAAAAATGTATATGTTCACCTTTAATTTTTTTCTTGAAGTTTATTTGTTAAAGAATAATAATGATCGCCCATGCGGTTCAGTTGGTTGGCTCATTGTCCCATAGCCAGAGGGTTTTGGGTTTGACTCCCAGTCAGGTCACATGCCTGGGTTGCAGCTGTGATCCCTGGTCCAGGTGCATACGGGAGGCAACCAATCGATGTTTCTCTCTCACACTGGTGTTTGTCTCTCTCCCTTCCCCTCTCTGTCCCTTCCTTTCTCTCTAAAAATAAGGGATGTCCTCCCTTATTTTTAGAGAGGAAAAAATGTCCTTGGGTGGGGATGGAAAAACAAAGAATAATGATCAACTGCTCTGCAGAATTTAGCACATTCTGAATTGTGTAAATTGTATTCCTCTGGAGTCTTTCTCTTGTATTTCTTGTATATTGGTAGTTAAATCTACAGGATTACCCAGATGAAGCTTTTTAAGCTTTTTTGACAAAAATATTTCATAGGTGTTATTTACTTTCTGTTGCATTACATCAAGAGGCATAAACTGTCTGGTGGTCTTTCTTTTTATTGTGCTTTAATTGGTTATTGGGTTCAGATGTTGTCAACCTGATAAAATTTGTGATAAACATAAATTTTCCCATCAACTTTTCAGCTAATAGTTTTAGTAGCTATTGATTATAGCGTAGGTCCATTATTACATTTAGAGTTGCAAAATGGTGATATCCTAATGTGATTATTCATCCACATTTACTAACAGAAATTCTTTTATAATAAATAATTTTGCCTCATTAAATATCTGTATAGTTTATACAAGACAACTAAGATAAATGTACAATTTTCTCCTTTATTTTCTAGTTTTCAGAATAATGAGTTAGTTCCCTAGTATCCTTTAAGTTTTTAAGTATATTTATCAATTTATGGATACTATAATTTTTAGTATATTTTATGTCATTGCATATATATTATTTAATATATTTATAATATTTATTATTTTGAAGCTCGAATTGTTTCTTCTTTGGCTGTTGGTACTCCCTTCAGGTGGGCTTCTGAGTTTTTTTGACCAAGGCACTGTAGTGTTTGACAGTTTACTCTCTTTCTGGAATAAAAATATGTTTTAGACTTACTGTATCTTGTAAATATTCTGCACAGACCTGAAATCAGCCCTTTCTCCAAGGAGCCTTGCTTTCTCTTAGTAAGAATGGTATTGTGATACCAAAGTTTGTATACTCGGCGTCCTCATTGGTAATGGGTTCTAATACCTCCCTGCATACAGTCCTCTCCTGGAGAAATGGAAAACATAGAGAGCCTATCCAATACGAGTTTACAATCTAAGGATATTAGTGCTACCATCAGAGATGTTAATGCCTTAAGGTAATGTTTTCATTTTATTGTATTTCTACTTAGAAACCTAAAGGTTCCTTGATACCTACAATGAAAAGTTGAAACTCTTTAGCCCAGCATTAAATACTTTACTTAATATGGCCCCAACATACATTTTTAGCCACATTTCCCCAAGGATATCCTATATAAATTTTTCTTCTGAGCTAGACAAATTGGCTTATGACCTAGGAGACCTCTTATACTTTCCTACTAATACTTTTTTAGCTCATGCCAGTTTTCCTAACTTAAATGCTTTCCTTTAACCAAATACTACCCATTTCTCAAAGCCCAGTTAAAGCTGCTCTTTTACTGGGTCTTCTAGATTATCCCGGTCTATGTGATAATCACTTTACCACCAGATTCCCTTGTTCCTACCACTTCAGTGTATACTGGCCCCTTTTCCAACTGGCATCTGCAGTGTTTCTCTGCCTGAAGACTTTTACTTGTCACCAAAGCCCCCTTTGGCCGCAGTGGACCAGCATGCCAGATAAATAACACTGCCTGGGAGGAGCCCTCAGCTAGTGACTGACATAAATGCGTATATCAATACCTCGGTCTTTATCACCCATTTTGCTCCACTAGCTACACTGTTCTAAAATGGCTGCCAGGTATTCCCAGTGGGATTAGTTGTTCTGTTTTGTTTCGTTTTTTTTTTTTTTTTTTAAATAGCTGCAGTGGACACTTGATTAATACCCCCTTTATTGTCTGCCTACTCTTCCCTGTCTCACTTCCTCCCTCCCGTACCATTGTTTCCTCCTAGATTACCAAATGCATGTGAACCCGGGTTTCAGGATTTTCTTCTGGAGTTTTTCCTCCTTTCAATTCATAACCTTTTTGATAGTAGTTATAGTAGCCTCTTCTGCATAGTTTGGGATAATCAGTAACCATCATTAAGTAAATCCCAATTATCACTCATTCTGGAACACATCGTATTCTAACATGTATATGAGAATCAATGTTTTTTGCAAATTGATGTGCGAAATTTGGATGAATTGGTTTTGAGTCAAAAATTTGGAATTCAAATTTGAAACCGCTGTTTTTTTTCTCTGCTCATCCACACTATCTTTTTATACAATGGCTTATCTCATGCTACTACTAGTCCTCTAAGACGTCACAGAACTTTTGTTGTCCTTTTTTAGTTAAGCTACTAGGAAAAGTTACCCTATATTTCTTTTGGGTGCTCTGCAAGTGAATGTTGTATATAATATATAGACTATTTCTTTTAAGAAACATTTAAAAAAATTTACTGAATTTATTCGTGTAGCATTGGCTAATAGAATTACACTGGTTTCAGGTATACAGTTCTAGGATGCATCGTGCGTATATTGCATTGTGTGTTCACCACCCAAAATCAAGTCTCTTTCCATCACTATTTGTCCCCCCCCCTTCTACCTCCTGCTGCCACCCTCCTTTCCCTGTG